TGATCCCAGTAGTTCTCGTTGTTAACGTGACTGATCCCAGTAGTTCTCGTTGTTAACGTGACTGATCCCAGTAGTTCTCGTTGTTAACGTGACTGACCCCAGTAGTTCTCGTTGTTGACGTGACTGACCCCAGTAGTTCTCGTTGTTGACGTGACTGATCCCAGTCTTTCTCGTTGTTGACGTGACTGATCAGAGTTTTTGTTATTGATGTGACCGAGTTGCGTAATAACACTTAACAAAGAAACAATTTATTCGAAATTTCACCCTATTTATAAAGTGTGGTGTTTCAAGAGAAGGGTTAGGAGAAAGTAAATATTAACTTTTTGGTGATGATTGAGTTTCTGTAATGCTGGTATCGTTGCTTCTGACGGAGCGAATATTTTGTTTTTAAATACCAGTTTTAACAGAGCATTTTATCCAATGAACACTGACCAACCCCACAGTGCATTAAGTAGCTGATGCTATCTCTCGTGCTTCTTAGATAACATGACGAAGTGGTAAACACAGAGGTCTTAGGTCGAACTTACTAAAATTGATGTAGTAAACAAACCATTTCAGACATTTCATGGCCGAAACTTGTAACTCTTGAGAGTATTACAAATAATGGAATTTTATATCCGTTTCTTAAACATCAGGACCGTAACCTGGAGGGTTAAATGTATGTTATGTATCTTTCATCATCTAATGTTGGTATAATTCGTGGTCTATGTGTTTGTTTTCTCTTTGTCTCTATGCATTAGAGGATATATTATGGGTTTCTATTTGAAAGTACGTTAAGGTTTTTTTTATTTTCAATTATCTTCATTTTTTTAAATTACATGTTTGTTTTTAAGAAGCAAATATATTTTTATCATGGAGTTAAAATGCAATAAAAAAAGTAGGGCCTGAAAAACCAGCGCCGTTTTACATTGATATATTGAAATAAATCTATGCCTAACAATGATATATAGGCGTGTATTTATTATTAGTAGTTGAACTTTTTTACCGTCTTGAAATATTTCTGGAAATAAACAATAATAATACAGTTGAAATTGTATGCTGTGTATATTATTACCAAGAAACACGTTCCAGGCAACACTGTAAAATGTTTTACTGACACAACTACATTTTTCGGGAACATTATGAAACGTATCGTGTTATTTTAAGGGGCGGGTTTAGTCAAGTTCAGATCCGTAGGCTAATTTAAGAACACGGAGCTAAAAATGGCGAAGTCAATGCGTGATTATGATTAACCTGTTACCCCCTCCCATATACATCTAATAAAGTAAACTTTAAATTACAAATAAGTATCAAAATAAAATACCTCATAACATTTAATGCTTCGAACTTTTATTCAATATATCTAAAGAGTGCAGAGTATTCGCTAGGTACTTAAAAGATTCGGGGTTTGGACCCATAGGCGCTGGAATTTTCGGTTTTTCAATATGATATTAATCGTGGTTTTCTATTCTGAATTTTCAACGCACCAACTGGGGATTCGAGGCAATGTCAAGTAGAATCGGGGCACGGGCCCTGAATGGCAACGCTTAGCGACACCTCTGAGAGAGCGTAACACAGTGTGATAAATCAACAACAACTATCGCTGGTTATGTGGTTTCGGAGTGGATTTTTTTTTATGAGTTGGAACAGCTGAAGTTCAGATGGCGCTGTTTGTAATAACTATTTAAGGATCGGAAAGCAAACTTTAAGTTAGAGTACTTTTTAAGTCCACTGAAATGAAAAATCCATCAGACGTGATAAGTCATCGGGCATCAGTTCGCTATTAATGGACACAAGATGTCACTGACTTGTTATACTATTAAACTTAATTCTTTATACAATGGCGATAATAATAATAATAAAAAAAGGACAGGATATGAAAGGATAAAATATAAATATATTCAAAACGGCCCGGCATGGCCAGGTGGTTAGGGCGCTCGACTCGCAATCTGAGGGTCGCGGGTTCGAATCCCCATCACACCAAACATGCTCGCCCTTTCAGCCGTGGGGGCATCATAATGTGACGGTCAATCCCACTATTCGTTGGTAAAAGAGTTGGCGGTGGGTGGTGATGACTAGCTGCCTTCCCTCTAGTCTTACACTGCTAAATTAGGGACGGCTAGCGCAGATAGCCCTTGTGTAGCTGTGCGCTAAATTCAAAACAAACAAACCTTATTCAAGCGCTCGGCCTAAGGGTAATGCGAGTGTGTACCGATAGGACCCTGCGTAATGACGTCCCTCTGTTATGTGAAATTATTTTCATTGACTAGTTTATCCAGGTATCCTGTACTAGCAGCGTGTACGTTTCGTAAAGTTTAATCAACTGAATTATTTCTCCGTGTGCCCCTTACTCGTACGTGTGTTTGTACGTGCCTTCTACTGGCGGTTTATACTTTTCCTGTGTAACGTAACTTTTGATTGGCTGATTTCAACATGTGCCCTATAATACTTGTTCTGTTATGCAGCAACTATTTGACTGGTTTACCCACGTGCATGTCATATTGCTATGGGACTGTAAACTTTATTTGATTGACTAGTTTATCCACATGTTTTTTTTTATGAGTGGCGTGGTTTCTTCTTCACGTATCGTGTGTCTGTCCTACGTTGTATAATTATATCATTGTTTATGTTCTGTATATGCTAGAGAGATTAATAATCTTTCAATTATAAAAAAAAAGGAGTATGGTCTAAACTTAACGAAATTTTGGTCAAATTGACATTCGATTAAAAACAACGGTATTGTTTGTTTGTAATTAAGCACAAAGCTTACACAATGGGCTATCTGTGTTCTGCCCACCACGGGTATCGAAACCCGAATTCTAGCGTTGTAAGTTCGCAGACATACCGCTGTGTCACTGGGGGGCACGACGTTATTAATAATCGTTGTTCGTAATTGAAGGAAATAAAATATATTAAGCAAGAGCCTCTTAAACTTTAAATTTTCAAAGTTAAAGCTATTGTATTTAATAAATTTTCGATCAAAATCAAACAATATTTCTTTAAAACCAGTACTCATAATTACACATGTGAACTTTTACTTATGGATATCATAGTAAACCTGTGAACGCTCTATCTCTCTCCAGTGGTAAGTCTCGGGCTTATGGCGCTAAAATTCGGGTTTCGATACCCGTGGTGAATAACGCTCAGATAGCCCCATGTAGCTTTGTGCTTATTAGCAAGCAAAAATACTATTTGTTTTTAAAATGAACGTAAACTAGTTGAAAGAAATGCATATATATATGTGTGTCGGTGTTTGCATAGTTTTTTTTTACATTCGACCACTTTTTAAGTTGTATGTCAAAATTGAACGAAGTGTCCACAAACTGTACATTAAGAAAATATATTTAAAAATTTGACACAGCTGTCTACGATGGTAAACAATTGTAAATACACTGGGACGGCTAGAGCAGATAGCCCTCGATTAGATCTGCGTGAAATTCAACAAGCGAAGAAACGTTGGTTTCAGCCTTTCAACTTTAATGTATTCCATACATTGAGGAGTGACTTTAAATACGTTGGTTTCAGTCTTTAATTTTTAATGTATTCCATACATTGAGGAGTGACTTTAAATACCTTGTTTTCATCTTTCACTTATTCCTTATTTGAGAAGTATCTGTAAATACATGTTTTCAGCCTGTTAATTTTATTTCGTACTTTGTTTGTTTGTTTTGAATTTCGCGCAAAGCTACACGAGGGCTATCTACGCTAGCCGTCCCTAATTTAGCAGTGTAAGACTACAGGGAAGGCAGCTAGTCATCACCACCCACCGCCAACTCTTGGGCTACTCTTTTTACCAACGAATAGAGGGATTGACCGTCACATTATAACGCCCCCACGGCTGAAAGGGCGAGCCTGTTTGGTGGGATGGGGATTCGAACCCGCGACCCTCAGATTGCGAGTCGAGTGCCCTTTACCACCTGGCCATGCCGGGCCTCGTACTTCGAGAAGCGACTGTAAATACGTTGGTTTCATCTTTTATTTATTCCTTACTTGAGATGCGGCTGTAAATACGTTGGTTTCAACCGTTTACTTTTGATGTTTTCCGTACTTTGAAAAGCGACTGTAAATACGTTGGTTTCATGTTTTTATTTTTTCCCTACTTGAGATGCGGCTGTAAATACGTTGGTTTCATCTTTTATTTATTCCTTACTTGAGATGCGGCTGTAAATACGTTGGTTTCAACCGTTTACTTTTGATGTATTCCGTACTTTGAAAAGCGACTGTAAATACGTTGGTTTCATCTTTTATTTATTCCTTACTTGAGATGCGGCTGTAAATAAGTTGGTTTCAACCGTTTACTTTTGATGTATTCCGTACTTCGAGAAGCGACTGTATAGTCAGGGCCGGATTAAGGTATGTGGAGGCCCTGAGGCAAATATCCTTATGGAGGGAGGCCCTTTGAAATATAAGAAGAAGAAAACTTTATTGTATTAAAAACAAACTTTGAAATATAATAAATGAATATATAAATCGAATATCGCAATATTCATAAATAATATTAATAAAATATTTGTGCGGGCCGTGAGACAAGAACTTCATTCGCCCCACGATTAATCCGGCACCGTGTATAGTACACCCTCCCCCCCCCCCAGTGGCACAGCGGAATGTTTGCGGACTTACAACGTTAGAATCCGGGTTTCGATACCCGTGGTGGGGCAGAGTACAGATAGCCCA